ACATTCTAGTTTGCTCATCGATCAGCTGGGATATGTCTGGTCAAAAAGACCTTGGTGGCAAGCCAGATGTCCTATCACCTCAATAGAATGAAGGTGGCTGCTCTAAGCTCTGCCCTCCTGGTCACGTTGGAGATACCAGGAGATACCAGATCTGGAGATACCAGATTCCCTGACGATCAAAGACTCCCTCTAGCAGTACAGCTGCCGTCGCTGCCTCACCCCATCCTCCACTCTCAGCTTCACCAAGGGCTGTTCAGGTGGCGACATTCTCTTAGGGCAGGGAACTCTGTAGAGGGATTGCTGGGAGCTTCTGGCCAGACATAGCCGTCTGTGATCTCAGGGCTCTGGACTTAGCTGACACATCACTGTTATTGCTTTGTCTCAGGCCGGACCCTGCCAGGTGCCTACTGCTTGACCTCTGTTTAAATGAGGGACTTCAAGACTACACAGCATGGCTGTTTTCAGTTTATTGCGTGAAGCAGTTACACTCGTCCAAGTTAGCAGCAGACCCCAAGTGGTTACATTACACAAGCTGCGAGGTCTGTAAACTTGTGACAAGGGACAGAAGGAAAATTCTACTCATGCAAGGAAATCCTCACTTAAGCTTCAACGAGCCAGGAGCACTTAAAACCCATGAACCTTCAGCTGATCGCCCTTAGCCAGTCCAATCTCTGCGAGGAACTGGCATATGTTCTTGCGCTGGTCACCCTGTAGCTGAATTACTTCTCCATATTCTGGACGCTCAATTACAGTTCCCTCGCAGGCAAATTTCTTCTTAAACGCCTTCACTAGCTTCTTTTTATCGTAATCATCAGCGATCCCTTGGACAGTAGTAAGGGTCTTCCTGCCGTTTCTCTGTTGAATTCTTATACGGATATAAGATCATCACCCTTACTTGCATCAGCAAAGGGGTCGAAAGAGTGGAGGTTCTGGATGGCGGACATACGATACGATTCCTTTTCCTCGGTGGAAACGGCCTGCGGAAGGCGGCGGCTGGAGAAGGCGGGCGGGGGGTACGGAGCGTCGGGAAGCCAGGGGGCTCGAGGGGGAGGCTGCTGGGTTCTCGGCGGCGGCTCAGTGACTGGGGCTATGATCCACTTTTTAATTCAACTCTGGCTTGTCCTTCAGTAAGTAAATGAAAGCAGTGAGCTTTGGACAAACCCCGTTTAAACGGGCCACCATCTTAAAAATTCAGGGAGATTTACCACACCAGCACACTTGCAGTAAGGTCTGTGGGCTTTATATGTGGAAACTTTTGTTATTGTACCTTTTCCTTTGGTATTCTGTTCTCTTGAACACCATTTACCCTTAAATGCAAAAAAAAATTTTGCCATATTTTTATAATTCACAGACTTTGCTAGGACTGTGCCATAACTAGTAATAATAGAATTATGTGTAATAGGAATCCTACACGTTGGACATAACTCCAACGCTGCAACTTATTTAAAGACAGATTTTTTTCAAGTTGGGCTTATAAATCATTTACAAAGAAACTGAGCAGGCCTGAAACTACAGTCCGACTGTCACATTCTTGCAATGTGACCACAGCTGCTCGGGGCTGGAGGCCGCAGCGGTGAGGGAGCGCAGAGCTGAGGGCCCCGCCAGACCGTCAGGAACAGAACTCTCGCACTTGCCAGATATTAGATCAACAACCATTAAATATAATATGAACCATCTTCCGTGGCCAGGGCTCAAAAGCTGCAAGTACAAACAGCTACAGATATGTCACTGGAGACGCGGGGCCCAGCACACCGACGGTCCCCAAGCTGCAGGGGGAACCTCGCCTCCACGGCCTCAAGCCCTCCTGTCACAAAGTTCTGGTTCTCTGGACCCAAATGCACAGATGCGTCCACTCTCCGTGAGTTATGCACACACGTCGGACCCCACGTCTGCCTCACAACACATGTACCCATTTGGCTTTTACGGGGGGAGGAAATGGCCTCAACTGTGCAAAAACCCAACACAGGTTTTGGGCTCTCGCCTGAGGGACTTGGTTCCAGGGTGTGTGAACCTGGTGTTCGCTGCTGGTAAAGAACAGCTCTGTCCTGAAGGGGGTCAGAGGTCCAGCGGCCACGCCTCCCCCGTACCCTGCTTACAATGCCTTTTACCTCTCTATTCTGTGGATCAGATAAAAATAATACATCACTTACCAAAAGGTTGAATTTTAACGTTGTCTGAGACACAGGTCTAAAGTCTATGATTAGAGAATTATTTTTCTGAGAAGTGTTACAAACGTACCTAAAACATAACACACACACACACACACAGACACACACACCCATGATTTCTGAAACAACAGCAACGTCTTTTGCATTTTAGAGAGTTTATTTGTGCTTTGATTTCATAGTCCCCACTCGTGAGAGCCCCTCCACACCAAACCCCACTGCTTTTGTCAGAGACCCTAACACTGCCCAGCACTAGTCTGGTTTTTTCACATTTACTGTCTGTGTTCTTCACTAGATTAAGTTTTATGAAAACAAGGATCTCACCAGCCTGTCTGTTACTGTTTTTCATGGCACTAAGTAATTTTGATTGAATGAATGTATGAATGTTTGAATGTGTTACATCTGATACATAAAATTATATTCTCTTGACTTTAATATTTTAATAAAAGTGATTGCTGCCAGTTTCCTTAGGTCAGTTTTCACACGCTCATATTTACATATTTATGTGAAAGAGTTAGGAAGCAATGATGTTTTCTGCAATTAACAATGACCTTCAGCCTTTGTATGTTTTCCTGCTGAAGCTCATCCTTGCTGTGCCCCTCCTTGGACCAACAAAAACTACTGCAATGTTAACTCTTAGTGGGGAAACAAGTGCATATTAACAACACCTACATTTAAAAATCCTTGATTTTACAACAAGCATCTTCAAACATTCTCTCTTCTAACAGATATGAACAGGATAATGTCCCCACATCACTACCAAGGTGTAAGAGAGGCACAAAGGAAACTGTTCAGCCTCCTCTGTGTAATCCCACGATCGTGCCATCACACGCACATCCACTTAGCAAAGACTCTTGTCTGTCTTCCATAAAGGATATCTGTCATGTTTTCTCACCACTGAGCACCTTCTGAAGACCCTCCCGATGTTAGGGAATCGGCCACCTCTTGATCTCCAGGCAGAGGCCAGGAGGCGGTTTCCTAGCGCCCTGCACAGACATGTAGCCCTGACCCAGGTTCATGGATTCGGTGCAGGTGCCTGCGGGATTCTTCAGTCTGGAAGTGAGCAGCGGGTGGAAGCAGTGCTTGTCACCAAGCCTGGCGTATTTTCCTATTTTTATTCCTATTTTCATTAAGTGAGGATTTAACTCCACTGCCAATCCTTCAGCAGAACACCCAAACTTGCACAGTAATTATATTCAATTATTTTTGAAATTTTGTTAATTTTAGTCATATAAAACTCAGGGCTTTAAGTGTTTTCAATTTTTGATGTGACAAAGGTGTACCTGTCAAGGTCGATGGGTAGAGTATGTTCTTTTCACAGCTTAACTAAAATAAGAAGCTTAGGCTCCTACTTCTGACAATGTCTCAACCAGGTCCCCAGGACAAGGTAACTTCAGAAAAAACAGATGCCTAGGATGAAGGTACGCCTTGAAGGGGAGTTATCACTGGATCTGTGTCACCATGAGGTCATCTAACTATCAGTATCAATTCAGCACATACTTCTGAGCATCTATGGTTTATGGTAACTAATATGCTAGACTCTGGAGATGCAGAGTTTGTAGGAGATGAAAGTGTAGAACAGAAACAGAAAAGTAAGTTAACGGGTTTGTAAAGGATCTGGGAGGTAATCCTCACCCAGAAGAAGACAAAGCCCCAGGGGAGAGCACCCTGGGTAGGGCAGGTAGGGCCTTGAAGGACAAATAAGAATTAGGGAGGGGACAAGTGGAGAGAACTTTTCCAGAAAGAAGAGCTAGCACAGGGGAAGGCACAGCTGTGTGAGAGAACAGTCTATGGAAAGGGCGTGGAATTTAGCAGGTTGGGCAAAGAGTTTTGCAGGACAGTAGGACGTGAGGTTAGAGGAACAAGTGGCAGATACACAACGGGTTTTATATCCCACGCCCAGGAGTGATCGGGAATGACTGAAAATGTGTTTCTGTGGGAGTGACAACCGTGACTAAATAGGAAGTAGTGGCGAATCCTCCTATATCCTGAGGAAGGTCCTAAGAGAGTTCTGCCCAAGTGGAGTCTAGTGGTTTCCTAAAGACGGCAGCCATGCAGTAAGGTCTCAGACTCCTGTTTCAACAGACCATACATCTGTGTTCAAAGTCAGAAAAGTCAGAGGCAAAATGGCATGGCACTGAGATTCCACTTCTGGGCACCCCAAAGGAAAGGAGCTCTGTGTTCGTAGAGCCACATGGGCAGAAGAGACCTTGGGTCTCATCTATCACAATGACTGTCATTTGTTTTTATCCCAAGACACTTGAGAGGGACGACAATCCCATAAGTAACTGGTAATGGATCACCAGCTGGTAATGATTCTCAAGATGTAAATGTGTATGTGTGTTTCCTGCCTAAGTGCCCCAACTAGAACCTCCACGACAATCACAAATAGAAGTGGCAGGAGTGGACACCCTTGTATTTTTCCTCATCTTTGGGGGAAAGTATCCAGTCTTTCAAAATTAACGATGATGTTAGCTGTGAGTTTTTCATAGATAGACTTTATCATTTTGAAGAAGTTCTTCTATTGTTGTCATTGTTTGAATATTCATAAATGGGTGTTAAATTTTGTCAAATGATTTTTGTGTGCCTATTGAGATGATCACATGTTTTATTTTGTTTATTGACATAACATATTACATTAATTTACTTTTTTGTTAAGCCAACCTTGCATTCCTGGGATAAATCTCACTGGGTAATGGTGTATAATCTTTTTTATATTTTGCTGGATTTGATTTGCTAGTCATTTGTTGAGTATTTTTGTGTCTATATTCATAACAGATATTGGTCTTAATTTTCAGTTCTTTTGATTTTTTTTTTAATCAGAGTAATACTGACCTCACTGAAGGAGTTGTGATGTGTTCCCTCTAATTTCTTGGAAGATTTTGTGAAGAAGTGGTATTAATTCTTCTTGTTTGGTAGGAGTTACCAGTGAAGCCATCTTGTCCTGGATTTTCTTTGTGGGAAGTTTTAAAATTATTATTACAATTTAGTCTCTTGTTAGAAATCTACTAGAATTTTCTATTTATTCTTGAGTCAATTTCACTAATTTGTATCTTTCTAGGACTGTTTCCGTTTCACCCAAGCTACATACATTACTGTCATACAGTAGCTCATTTGTAAGATAGTCAGTGATGTCTCCACTTCCATTTCTGATTTCAGTAATTTGAGTCTTCTTTCTTTTTTCTTGGTCACCGTTAGCTCTTATCTTAAATTCCCTCCTTGGTAACTTCATATACTCTAATGTCTGGATATACAAATTTCTCATCCAGGTAAAACTTGAAATCATTTGTATTTTCTACTCATCTATAAGAATATTTTAATGTAAAAGATACCTATGAATATCTTTTTAATTCTGTGAACCATTTAAAGTATAATTTTATAAGATGACTTATCTAAAAATTAAGATAGCTAACCATTCACAAGTAAAATTCTAAATTGTACTGAAAGGCTACCACAGTATAGTGGGAAAACACCCACCTAGGATTCTGGAGACCTCTTATAACACGTGCTCTGCTATGAACTAGCTCCATAATTTTCAATAAGTCACTTATTTTCTTGAGGCTATAAATGTAATTCCCATACCTGGCAGGATTGTGAACTAATACATTGCCATCAATCATAGAGAACTTGAGGAGCAGCAAATAAACTCTGTTCAGAACCAAAGTCTGAGCATAGGTCTCCCGGCATGCCAAGCATAAGGTAGCACTACTTAGTGCCCATATTCCCTTTCCATAATTTTCTTTAAAGCTCAAAGATCTATTATTAGATTTTCTTGGGTTTGACAATTAAAAGGCATGAAAGGAGACCTCATGAACTATTTATATTTATAAAGGAGACCATGAACTACTTCAAATTCTTAAATTCAGCAACAGGGGGAAAAACAGACTCATCCATCAGAAGTTCTTTTTTCTTTCTTTCTTTTATAATATGACATAAATCATGGAAAGCAAAGGCAAAATTTAAAAGCAATAAGATATTTTCCAGTAGTTCACCTTATCCTTGGAAGTGAAACTTACTAGCTGTTACCCACATGTACTTAATATAGCTTAAAACAACTGTGCTCTGGTTAAAACGTGGTGTAATAATTTTACAATGTGCTATCTGCCTGAAACAAGACCACCCATACTTGGGAAATTTCCATCTTTTTTGAAGTCAGGATAATACAAAACTTGGCAAGTTAGGAAAGGGCAATGAAGGAGGCCAAAGATGAAGTTCAGAGAATGCAGTTTTCCATATAGATTTGTATGAATTGTTAATGATAAATAAAAACAATTACCGTTTAGTTTTCATGCCCAATACATCCACGTTGGAATAGTTGCTTCCAGCAGAAAATAGCAACATTATTTCAGATTTGTGTCTCCATTTAACCCAATACCTTTCCCAAATACTTCCATCTAAAGGAATCAGGACCAACAACCACACACAAGACTGAGGGATCACTTTACAGAAGCAAACTCAGAAGCTGCCAGTGTGCCTGCAAGTCTTCATCTCTGGAAAATATTAAAGTATCCTTCTGTGCCAGTAACAAAAACAGACTCAAAAGAGCAAAAATGAAGTTCTGTGCTGATAGCTCAAATGAGAGCGAAAGCTTCTGTGCTTCTAACTTGAGGACTTTTTCTTTCAAGATTCCCTCGTGGAGAAGCTTTAAAATGCAGTGATACGCCTTACAGCAGGGCCGCGCCTACCGTGTGTTCCGTGGGACGCCAGCACAGCCAGGCCCTACGTAGTCCTCATCAGTCCCACGTGGTCACTGTGACACCCACACAGAGTCATCACACGCTTGCAAGGGAGCATTTTCCAAAGTACGTCAGTTATTTTTATGAACCTTGATTCTAGCCACTGTCACTATTAATCTGGATATATTTCTTTATATCTGAGTATCCCAAATAAAGTATGGAACTAATAAAACAAGTAACATGGATTGCTTAAAAGTGAAGAAAACTGCTACAAAAAAGATGGCTCTTTTAATTCCAGTCGACCGTCCCCAAGATACTGGATCGCGCCCATTCACAGGCAAGGATTTATTTTGCTCTTCGAGCCAAGCAGTGCTGTAGGCTCTGGGCATCAGACAGTGGGGCCAACAAATTGATCAGATACTCAAACTGGACTCACGAATCAGAGCTCTTACCCTGGATCAGGTTTCACTGGCAATTTCAAGGATGAAGCCATCAGGAGGCATGAAAAAGCAGACTCAAGTTCAGAGCCTCCTCTCCTCCCAGGCCTCTGGGCCAAGCACAGGGTCAGTTCACACAGCGGGGAACCTTCAGGCTATGGAATATCTCCACGTCATACCTCAGGTACTTGTGCAGCTTGTAGACGTTTCTGGGGGAGCCATGGCTCACAGATCCACAGATCACAGATTTACTTACCACACGCAATCCTAACCCAGAGACATCCTGCTAAAAGCATCACATAGATCAAGACTCTCTTCCCAGCAAATACCATGAGTCTACGTACCAGGAGATGGGGTATTGCCTTGGTGACAGAGACAGTCCAGCCTTCTCTCTCCCGAGTGGCCCCTGTGTGTTCCCAGTAACTAGAGGGAAACAGATCACAGTCAAGCTGCCCTAACACCTTTCTCCCTGGTATTAAACAAGACAGGCATGCAACCCCCTTCTCGCGTGGCTTGTATTCTGTGCAGAGGAGCAGCCAGTAAGAGGGTGGACACGTGCAGAGACAGACTGCTTCTAGAGAACCGTGTGCTATGGAGACTGAAACGGGGCGATAGGACAGAGAACAAGAGGGAAGACTGTTCAGATCAGGTGGTCAGAGGTCTCTCTGAAGACATGATTAAGGAACTGAGATCTGAAAGGCAGGAAGCCGTTCATGAGAAAATTTCTGGAAAATCATTCTAGTCGGGAAGAAGAGCAAGGGCAGAAGTTCTAACGCAGACGGCTTGGTGTGAAACAGAAATGACTGGGAGATGTTAAACTACACCTACGCGGGTGGAACTTATTGGGCCAGGAGGAGAGTGGGTGGAGGCGGGCCCCGGGCAGGTCTGAGAGGCCACAGTGGGAAGCTCTTATCTTATTCTAGGCAGCGGGATGGCCACCACAGGGAGTAGAAGAATGACACAGTCTGCTTGATGTTTCAGAAAGATGGTCTGGCTGCCGGGTGGACAAGAGGAGGTCACGTGAAAGTGGTCCAGGAGAGAGATCATGGTGGTCGGACTAAGGTGGTAGAAGAAAAACATGGCAAGAAACGGAGGGATTTGTCTTACCTATCAAGACTACGGCCAGGGGTGTGTAAGTTACACCTCAGTAAAGGATGGTTCAATATATATGGCCAAGAGTCCTTATCTTTTGAGGATATTACTATATACTGAAATATTTACAGCTAGAAGTATACCGTGCCAGAGTTTCCTCAAAATAAATAGAGCATGTGTTGGGGGCGGGGAGCTGAAACGAGAATTGAGTTGGTAACTGTTGACGTTGGGTGATGGGTGCATGGAGATCTACTATGTATTGAATGTATGCTTAAACTTTTTCATAATAAGGTATTTGAAATGGAACAGTCCGGGGACAGGACTCCTATGGTCATGGGGTTGTAAAGCAACTTGTGAGTTACTGGTAGAACCACTCGCCCCACCCATGGCCACTGTAACCTGTGATGCCTGTCTGCCTAGAGTAGGAGGAAAGTTCTTTTGAACAGAATGCATTCTTTTTAAGCTGCTTTAATTGGTGGAAATGATCAATTTCTTTGGTAGTTTGGAAGCTCTTTGTTACACTGAGCTAAAAATAAATCTTTCAGAAACTTCCAACCCTGGGACCTAGTTCAGCAACATGGAAGCCAAGAAACAAGTGGACTCTTCCTACATGATAACTCTACAGACTTAAGGATAGCTCTCCTGTCTTCTACAAGCTGAAATGCTGATCCTTTAAATCATTCCTAAAACCAAAAGGAGAGATTTTCCTACAACTTGTTCTCTTCCTGTTCCTCCTCCTTTTTTCCCAAGCTCAGGTATTCTTAGCTTCCTTCTAGGACCTTGCAATTTCAATTAAGGCCTCTCTTTTCACTGGTTTATTCACATACATTGGCCCCATATTGAATAAATCCTAAATATATACAGCAATAGTTCTCAATCAGTTTTCTTCTGCAATACACATAGTGAATAACATTTCTGTGATATAATCTCATACACAAATTAAAAAGTACAAAACTACTCTTTAGACTATATAATTTCTAGCATTGGAGCTTGCCCCTACCCACGGGGTAACAGCCAGAACTGCCATGCCATTTGTCCACAGTTAACTGGACCAAGGACAGCAACTGACCCAAAAATAATATTCCACTTCATATTGACAGGAAGTAATAATTCAAAATAAAAGTATTGTAGTCAGTTCTTTCTGTCAGTGTTTCATATTAATCAAAGTGCCCCAAATATTGAACTTCTTTCTTGCTCTCAGAATCATGTTAAACGTTCGCCAGCACCCCTTTAGCACAAAAAATCGTCACATTAATGGGATGTTCATGGTGATGATGTGTGCGGTTCAGACTTTGTGCTCAAAATCAACACCTGTTCATCTCAGCTCTCCCCACTCACAAGCCCACCTCAAAGACAACGTCTCTCAACAGCAAGGCTGATTCCGTGTTTATAACCAACTGTGCCTCCTGGCTCTCTACTACAAAAGAACAGAATGTACCTCAGTTAGAACACAGAACTCTCTGCAGACCTCTCGGTCCCGGGGCTTCACAATTATACTGTGATTCGTTTTGTGTGGTCCACAGCGTGTACACCTGTCTACAGCGAGGATACGGGCCATCCCACCATCACAACCAAGCCTCCCACTTTCACCTCTCACATCTCTTAGCCAAATTTTAAATGGTCAAGGTGTCAACAGTTATGTGGTTTCTATAACTATAACCAAATTTTCTATCCTTAGTTTATGGATGATAAGGAAAAATTCAAAATCATAACCAGCACTTACCTTATGATACTTGTGTAAATATCATTAATCATTCAGTCAAGTAACACTCCTTCTCCAAGACCCCACAGGACAACTATTTAGGCATCAGAAGCAAAATATTCCTAGAATCAAGCTTAATCAAATACACACTCTCACATTACATAAATTGCTAACAATCATGGTGCTTAAACTCATTTTAACTTCTTTCATACCAGGACCATAAATGCTTTGCTTCATTTTCTTAAACTCTCTAATTTTCTTTTTATTTTTTATTAATTAAAAAACTTTCATCATATCTTGAAGATGTTCTATTTTTCAATATCACTGTTTACTGCCTGGAGCCCCTTTCTTCCTGGAGATTTCTCCAGAACCCTCCATCCACATGCAGGAATCTGGACCTAGTGTTTTCTAAACCTGATGCACAGCTGGAGTCTGGGGATTCCCTTCATTACAGCTTGGGTTGGATTAATCACGTTCTGGATCTCAAGGCTTCCCTTTTTTCCCAACCCTCAATTTATTGGAATATTTGCTCAAGTAAATTTCTTTCCTCAGAAAGAGTGTCTTGGAGTGAACTTCATACCTATGTGTTACTGAAAATGACTGTATCTCGCCTGCAATTCAGTGGATTGCTTGCTGTCTACATGAGTCTCCCTCAGAAAGTAGGATAAATTACAAGGTGAACAAGGAAGAACAGACTCAAATAAAAATGCAATTAACATAGAGGGAATTTACCTCAACATAATAAAGGCCATATATGACAAACCCACAACCAACATCATTCTCCATGGTGAAAAACTGAAACCATTTCCACTAAGATCAGGAGCAAGACAAGGTTGCCCACTCTCACCACTCTTATTCAACATAGTTTTGGAAATTTTAGCCACAGCAATCAGAGAAGAAAAAGAAATAAAAGGAATCAAAATCAGAAAAGAAGAAGTAAAACTGTCACTGTTTGCAGATGACATGATACTATATATAGAGAATCATAAAGATGCTACCAGAAAACTACTAGAGCTAATCCATGAATTTGGTAAAGTAGCAGGATACAAAATTAATGCACAGAAATCTCTTGCATTCCTATACACTAATGATGAAAAATCTGAAAGAGAAATTAAGGAAACACTCCCATTTACCATTGCAACAAAAAGAATAAAATATCTAGGAATAAACCTACCTAAGGAGACAAAAGACCTGTATGCAGAAACCTATAAGGCACTGATGAAAGAAATTAAAGATGATACAAATAGATGGAGAGATATACCATGTTCTTGGATTGGAAGAAGCAACATTCTGAAAATTACTCTACTATCCAAAGCAATCTACCGATTCAATGCAATCTGTATCAAACTACCAATGGCATTTTTCACAGAACTAGAACAAAAAGTTGCACAATTTGTATGGAAACACAAAAGACCCTGAACAGCCAAGGCAATCTTGAGCAAGAAAAACAGAGCTGGAGGAATCAGGCTTCCGGACTTCAGACTATACTACAAAGCTACAGTAATCAACACAGTATGGTACTGGCACAAAACCAGAAATATAGATCAGTGGAACAGGATAGAAAGCCCAGAGATAAACCTATGCACATATGGTTACCTTATCTTTGATAAAGGAGGCAAGAATATACAACGGAGAAAAGACAGCCTCTTCAATAAGTGGTGCTGGGAAAACTGTACAGCTACATGTACAGCTACATGTAAAAGAATGAAATTACAACACTCCCTAACACCATACACAAAAATAAACTCAAAATAGACTAAAGACCTAAATGTAAGGCCAGACACTATAAAGCTCTTAGAGGAAAACATAGGCAGAACACTCTATAACATAAATCACAGCAAGATCCTTTTTGACCCACCTCCTAGAGAAATGGACATAAAAACAAACAAATGGGATCTAATGAAACTTGAAAGCTTTTGCACAGCAAAGGGAACCATAAACAAGATGAAAAGACAACCCTCAGAATGGGAGAAAATATTTGCAAATGAACCAATGGACAAAGGATTAATCTCCAAAATATATAAACAGCTCATGCAGCTCAATATTAAAAAAACAAACAACCCAATCCAAAAATGGGCAGATGACCTAAATAGACATTCTGCAAAGAAGATACACAGACTGCCAACAAACACGTGAAAGGGTGCCCATCATCACTAATCATTAGAGAAATGCAAATCAAAACTACACTGAGGTATCACCTCACAATGGTCAGAATGGCCATCATCAAAAAATCTACAAACAATAAATGCTGGAGACGGTGTGGAGAAAAGGGAACCCTCTTGCAATGAGTGGGAATGTAAATTGATACAGCCACTATAGAGAACAGTATGGAGGTTCCTTAAAAAACTAAAAAATAGAACTACCATACGACCCAGCAATCCCAGTACTGGGCATATACCCTGAGAAAACCATAATTCAGAAAGAGTCAGGTACCACAATGTTCACTGCAGCACTGTTTACAATAGCCAGGACATGGAAGCAACCGAAGTGTCCATCGACAGATGAATGGATAAAGAAGATGTGGCACATATATACAATGGAATATTACTCAGCCATAAAAAGAAATAAAATTCAGTTATTTGTAGTGAGGTGGGTGGACCTAGAGTCTGTCATACAGAGTAAAATCAGAAAGAGAAAAACAAATACCGTATGCTAACACATATATATGTAATCTAGAAAAAACAAAAAATGGTTCTGAAGAACCTAGGGGCAGGACAGGAATAAAGACACAGACTTAGAGAATGAACTTGAGGACACAGGATGGGGGAAGGGTAAGCTGGGACAAAGTGAGAGAGTGGCATGGACATATATACACTACCAAACGTAAAATAGATAGCTAGTGGGAAGCAGCCGCATAGCACAGGGAGATCAGCTCGGTGCTTTGTGTCCACCTAGAGGGGTGGGATCGGGAGGGTGGGAGGGAGGCTCAAGAGGGAGGGGATATGGGGATGTATATGTATATGTATAGCTGATTCACTTTGTGATACAGCAGAGACTAACACAACATTGTAAAGCAATTATACTCCAATAAAGATGTTTTTAAAAAATGTAATTAAGAGCATTGAAGAAAGGCAAGAAAACAACCAAAAGAAATGGAAATGGTGTAAAAAGAAGTAAAAGGGTTAAGAATGAAAATGGAATAAAGTGGGATGAAAGGCAGATGAAAGACATCTCGAGCAACCAGAACCCGAGGAATGGGATGGGGTATACATGTAAAACTGTCATCTAGGGAGACTTCCCAGGTGAGGAAAGGAGTCCCTCCACCCACATGTGGAGAGCGCTGGCCTGACAGGGAACTGATGGGAACAACGGCCCCTGAGATGTGTGCCAGTAAAACCTCAGGCTTCAAAGCTGAAGGGCAACACCCTCAAGGCTTCGAGGAATCAGACAGACATCTAGCTTCGAAAAACAACCACGCACAAAACAATGGAGCACCATTTGCAAAAGTTCAGTAAGAGAACCTGTGCACCAGGCACAGAAAACAGGGTTAAACATGCAAGAACTGGGGTGTTTTGTCACCATGAGCCCTTCTGAGGAATGTAGTCAAAGATAAGCTTCATCTAACCAGGAGATGACTGGAAAGTTTTCAGCAAAAGTGCCCCGTGAATGCAGCCATGAGCCGACCCAGCAACAGGAAAAGAAAAGGTGTTTATTTGTGTTGACACTTACCCGACGGGTGTGTCTGCAAGGACACAAATCAGACAAATATCTTGAGACTTTAAAAAATTTGAATGCAATAACTAATGATAAATCTTAAAGGCCAGTTAACAAAGATTGATTTTTTTCTTAATGATTGACCATTTCTAGGCTTTCTCCTCTTCCAAATAAACAGGAAAAAAATAATAAATGAAAGGGACAATTTTATGATTCATGAATATAAACAAGCTGTTAAATAACTTCACTGCTACTGGCTCAAAACTTTACGTAGAAAAGGGGTATAATTTTTAGACATTTGCAGAAATCCTGAGGATAACACTTTTAATCTGTACCGTTTCATATTTCTCATAATTTATTAGAAAACAAATGAGTTTAAAGAAAGGAAGTAAAAATCTATGCTCCTAAATGGCAAAATTCATCAATGGATGTTAAAATTAGTAGGTAAAAGTTTGATGACAAATGAATATTTATATAATTACAAGGTATCCACCCCCAAAATGTTTATTAATTATAAAAGGAAAAATACTGACTTTATAATAGAGAAACCTGATGCAAAGAATATTAACCAAG